CCATCAAAAGTGAGTGGGCCAACGGTGGGAAAGTGTCTGCGGTTCTCGGGCGGGTTCTACACTTCGTGACGGCAGTGGGTGTGAGTGCATAAAAAAAGGTTATAAATGTTCTATTTATAAATCTAAGTGGGTGCAAATGGGCATTACAAAATGTATATAATGTTGAGCGTTAACTGAAAAGACTTTTAATGTCTGAGTAATTAAATACACAAATTTATTATTAGATTTTATGACTATCATTATTCACAAGGTCATGATACAACAATCTAAATAGCATAGCAAATGGGAACCAAAGAATAAAATGTAATAGGACTACATATTTATGTTAATTTAGACTAAAGGATTTTATAATATTAAAATTGATTAATTTAGTTGTATTTTATTTAAGATCTTAAGATCAGCCTTTCTGTCTCACTGAACATCTACTTTTTAGAATACCTTAAGGAAATATGGAAATTCCTCCTTAATTAAAAGCGTGCTTATTCAATTTAAGACAAGGAATAATATTTCAAAAAGAAGTTCAGCCTCTTAGTCAAGTTCCTCTTCTATTAAAATATCCGACACGTTAAGCTTATTACCTTATGACGACATCAACAACCGACTTATATTACTGCCACCCAGGGATCCACTCCATTCCATAGCCTTTGTCATTACTATCATCACAACAATCATCATCATCGTGGACTGGAGCTATCAGCAACCTAGACCCAATCATCAAGAGCAAGAACAAAGGAAAAAAATCGATTTCATTCATACGCAATTGCGTTGAAATCTGTCAATGACACGTTCTCGATGTTCGCCTGCCACCCCCCGCACCTTCACCCCACCCCAAAGGGAGATCCACCAATACCAATACCCGTCCAATCCCAGTCCCAATCCCCTCACCCACCCAGAGGCAGATCCACTCCGCCCGTTTCAGTTCCTCTATCCGTTTTCCTGCCACTGACAGACCTGGCCCAAAGCTCTTCCATTCGAACTAGTAGCACCTGTACAGGGGATTCTGCACAGAGAATAACTATAGAGAAAATCCTACTTTGGATTTAGGTGAAATAGATTATAAAAACATAATAACTGCAGTATCATACATATGCTAAGAGTACAAATAACTTTACTGATTTTATACATCTAGAAATATATCTAAAACAATGCAAAATCTGCTTTTTAGCTTTTATCACTTGAACCTAGAAGTTTTCTTTTTGAAAAGTTGCTATTCTGTAGCTCTTTTAATTTAACAAGTCCCAATTAAGAAAATTCTAAAATACAATACAAAATATGTACAAGCAACCAAAAAAATGAAACGGTAATTTCAAATAATAAAATGCTCTAGAATATGCTACATGTAATGAGAATATTATAAAGATTTTATTCATTTCATATATATAAAGTAAATTTCATAAAGTACCTGTTAAATGTTTAACAATTAAAATCGCGGTGTATGTTCAAATTTTATAAAAACTCTTATTAATTTATATTCCTGATTTTTTGCAGTCCCTGTCTTGAAATACCTTGAATTGAGATATACATTTTTCTCTGTGCAGGCTTCAGGTTGTAGAGGAGAGTGGGGGGAGGGGATGGCTAGTGGGTGGAAAGGAGAGGCAGGGCGCACACTCATCACGGCCATTGACAAGTAGCTGTCAGGCAGAAGGGTCAAGGGGGAAACACGAACGAGCGAACGAACGACCGAGCATCAGGACCACTTTTTGACACAAGTAACTGGGCTGAAACCCTTGCCCTCGGCCATGAGGGGGTTGGAAGGGGGTGGTGGAGGCTTGGTGGATGTCAGGTGAGGGCGGCACACGCATCACAATGTGCCAAATCAAGCACAAAAATCCAATATCCTGCAATGAAATACAATTACACGGTGCACACAACTCGATTTGGCCCCGACCAAAGTCACTAATAATTTTGGCTTACCGAAAATAATTGGCATAAGTTGGAAGGTAATAACAAGGTGTGAAAATAATGGCCATTCGGGACTTTTCTGGCAGTGTAGGGCCTTGCATTGATTGTTACATGATGAAGTGCTATCGATGTCTGTTTCGTTTGACTGATTCTCAGATTCGATGGAAAAACGAGCAGCCCTCGAGCGGCGGCAGGTGTGTGCGTGAGTATCTGTGTAAGTGAGAGTATCTGTGTGGCAATAAGCGACTCTGTGTGGGTATGGAATTTAAAGGCCCGGGCACTGCAAGTGCCGCCCAGGTCTTTAAAAGTGTAAGAAGACGAGGCTGGCATTCAAATCTCTGCCCCCAGCTCGATGACTTCACACATTCCACAGCGAAAGAGGGGGCCACAACGAGAACTTCCTTGAAAACCCCTGTCTAAGCCAAGTGAAGAACTTAAACGTCGAACCAGTTTTTGGTGAATGAAAATCAACAAACCCAAAAGTTGCACAAACTCCAAAAGAAGCAGAAGAAACCCGAAGCGACCGAAGTACAAGAAAACGACGATTGGTGGGAGGGGGTGGAGGTGTGGAGCCAAAGAAGGGGCAGCCTGCCAGCTAAAATATAATAAAAAGAAATTAAAATAAAATTCAAAAATGTGCAAAACGAGACCGAGAACGAGAAATGCTGCATGCCAGTCTTCGGGAACAAGGGAGCGGTACTGGAGAAGAATCTCCATGGAACCTGTTGGACCAGTCACACAAACACACAACACACACACAGCACACACAACACTCAAACACACGCACACACACCGAGGGAAAATGCCACCAACGTGTTTGTGCCAGGATAAAAGGCAAGCCGGGTCGAGCTCTGGTCTGGCCATCTCTTTCTGGCCCGCTCCGGAGGATTTCAAGTGTAAAACGCTGTCGCTTGTGGAATGCGCACACACACACACACACACACACAGATACATATACAACTGCATAGATAGCCCAACATTTGGCCACATTTTGCTGCACTAAATCAAGCGTTTAAACGAAATTCGAGTTGGCCCAACAACTCGAAGCGCTCATATTTTGCTGATCGCCGAAAAAGAAGAACCATAATTTATAGATGCCGTTTGACTAAATTCGTTTAATTCCAGTCCTACCAACACACACCTTGGTATATGTATTATGTATTATGCCTACATTTTACCTGATACAAAAAGGCCAGAGAGAGAAGTAAAAGGGTTTCGGTTTTGGTTTCGGTTTCGGTTTCTTTGGGACCTTCGCTCTCATCGATCGTTCCGTGGCGTACATTATAATTTATAACTTTATCTAAACGATGTGGTGGTGTTTAATTTTCGACCTCACCTCTTTCAGCTCGTTTTTTTTGTTTGGTTTTTTGTTGCCGTTTCGCCATCCCATCATCATTATCATCATCATCACCATGGTTGTTTCTGATGTGGATACGTTTCATTGGAGAACTGTTTCCGCTTCGCATGACTCACTTTTCGCTGTTAGCCCCGGGTCTTAACTCTTTTTTCTTCTTATTTTTTGGGAGGTCTTTCTTTATCGCACACTAATTTGAATAGGATTCCATTTCGTGATGAACATATCACCGGCAAGGGAAAACAACCATGGGGGGTGGGAGGGCGTTTGCGCCCAGCTGGACGCCCGCAACTGACCACCGGGAAGTCCGCTCCTCCTCCTCGGACATATCTTGTTAATGAAGAAATAGATACAGACGCCCCGAGACGCCGAGGTATTTAAGATCGAGGTCGGTGCCCGCGGGGGTGACGAGTGAAAGTCAGAAGAGAGTCGGGTCGTGCATTGTCTGCCACACCGCTGCTGCAGCCTCAAGACAATCGCTTCGTTTTGCAAATTGCAAAGGGCAAAAAATTCCAGAAAATAAAAGATACAACCACACGTGCTGTGCGAGGTCATGACACGGCTATCCATTTAAATAGAAATGTTTAGCCCTAGGAAAATACTGGCTGACTGCCTCTTCAAAGGCGTGAAATCCGAGCCTGCGCCGCGAGTTCATCAAACCGATCGTAAAACACAGGCAATGAAACAAAATTAGAACTCATTCAGCCATCAATTAAAACCGAGCATGCAAATTTTTTCCAGCGGCATCGATAAAAGCCCGGATTGAAAGCCACCGAGAACACGAGAAGACCACTGTGAGATGGATTGATTTACGTTGAATATGCAAATTGCAGAGAACCACCGTTGAAAGCTTTTAGAAGAGTATTTCGAGAATTCGAATAAATATTTAGGCCCACTGGCCAGGGGAAGAAAATAATCAAGCCAGCTCCTGGCAGATGATTCACAAGTGGGAAACTTGAATTTGGTTTAGTGAAATGTCGGATGCCATAAATAAATTTAACCAATAATTAAAATGGCTAGGGTGTAAACAGGATACACGAAGATATGTTGGGGATGCGTCATATCTAAAAAGAAGTTTGTGGTATTTAAATATAAATAAATATTGACATATATTGACTTTCCATTACTCATATGTATGTTTCAAAGAAAATAATATAAATTTATGAATAAAAGCGGAATATAAAAATTAAAGATGTAGGAAAACATCCACATACATTTATTAATAACGTATAATGTTTATACTTAATACTTATACTTATTATAAATTAAATAAACAATTTAATAGTTTTAATAATAACGATTTGTAATTGCTAATCAATTGATTAGTAGTTTTTTGCTAAGTGCACAATTTTTAAATTTAATCAAACCTATTATTATCCTAATCGGTCAATACATGCTGTATTGGATTAAAAGTAGTAAATATTGTCAGCTTGAGCCCTACAAATTTGTTATTCGATGCGATGCCATTAGTAATCCATATATAGTTTAATTTATAATAATTAAATAACTAAAATGCTGTATTCCACTGTTAATTAGAGCATTGCACCACTGTGCCAACATCTGTTCTCGTGCCATGTGCCCGCTCTTTTCTCTTTAGTCCGTAACAGAGTCACCATATGGGGGTGTTCTCTTAGTCACCGAGTACTCGGCTCTCTCTCAACCTGCCTCTCTTTCGCTTCGTGGGGCACTCACGGCGAATGGTTGATGTGGATGCGGAGTGGCCAAGTCAATCGGTTCTTGATGCTCGTCGTGAAAGGTTCGTTGCGCGCGCGGAAAAACTGAAAAGTCTCGAAGCGAATTTCGAACGGAAAAGTGCTACAAAATAAGGCGAGTGCAATTCCTCGACCTGCGAACGCCGGTGGCTAAGGTTGCCAAGAAGCCTCGCAATTAAATCTATTTTCGCCGACATTAATACACAAACCGAAAGCAAAAACAAAACGCAATCGCTGGCAAATCAATTGCTTAAGGAATTGAGTACTATTTACGTATGTTATGTCATGGAAAGTCTCTGAGCAAATCTCTTGAATAAGTTCGGAAAATATTTTTGTGAAATTTTTGCAACCATTTGAAAACTACACATAAAAAATAAAAGAAAAACAAAAAGTGCCAGACACGCGCGTAATTTTTTGCACAATTTTTCTAGCGGCGTCGAAGAGAAACTCCGCGCTCTCAGCGTTTCCTCCTCCTCGTCCTCCTCCTTAACCGCCCACCAGCTCACGTTTACTACCACTTTTATTGCTAACGCGTGTTTTTGGGGCCTTTTGTTTTGTGCGCTCGTATTTGTTGGCCGTGTGTCTCAGTGTGTGTGCGTGTTAGCCGGCAAGTGCATTTGTGTGTGTTGCCGCGAACAGCTGTTCACCAGACAGCATGCAGAAGTAAATACGAAAAGCGAATAGTGGTGCCCAGATAAATCGCAATCCCCAATTCGCGGTTTAAAAGATAAATCTCAGAGTTCAATCGCAAATTTCGCAACAATCATCCATCAAAATGGCGGCCAGGAGCATCCGGCTGGCGCAGCTCTTGCTATTCACCCTGCTCTGCGGTCTAGTTGGCCTGTCAGCCGCCAAGCACCTGGATTTGGACGGGGGCGGCAGCTCAGTGCACCACCACCAGCACCACCAGCACAGCGCCACCACGCACCACCGACGTCGCCTGCAGCGGGACTCGCGGGCAAAGGACGCGGCGGACGGACAGCCCCACCAGTGCGAGGTCGTCAAGAAGTACTTCGAGACGTTCGACATCAAGTCGAGTGGGACTTACAACGAAAAAGGTAAGTTTCACATCAGCCCAGTGGCCAAGATATCGAGAACACACACAGAGTTATGCGGGCTAGAAGCTTAAGAGTCTCCATCCCCATCTACCGGCACATATTAGTTCCTTTGGGCATCGTCTCCTAGTTCTCACAACATTAAGTTTAGTATATTTTTCAAACAATTAAACCCCTTGAAACAAAACCATAAAGTGACGTTAAAAATAAATATATGCAAAATTTGGACAAAAACTCATAGCTTAGGGAAATGACGATTCGAAATTCGCACTATCGCAGTACGTTTTTTTGGGTTTTCAAAACTTAAAAAAATATATTTTCCCATCACTCATGGTTTCCGATTTATTATAAAATATTTTATATTGAATACCCAAAAATGTGAGATTCAAATATTATGATTTTTTTTTTGGAAGTATTTGAAAAGGATAATATCTACAGAGGAAATGAATATTCTCAAGCACATTACAAAATTTTTGAAGTTCAATTTAACAATTTTATAAGTTTGGTTTTACGTAGTTAATCTTAAGCCCGAATAGAATTTATAACATTGCATTAATCTTGGCATAGATAAAAGATATTCATCTACCAGAAAACCATCTCTTCTACTCTATTTTCCTTTTGTGAACAATTCATTGCCACAATGTAGGACTTAACTTTAAACCGCGCCATCAGGCTTAAATACTTCAACCGGGTAAATCGCGCGTCAGCCAAAGTTTTGCCATCTTGCAGCTGCAATTTCTCTTCTTTCTGGTTCTGGTTCATCCCAGCCCCTCATCCGGCCTCCGATCCCCGCCAGAAACTAGAAGCATATGCAAATTCATTGAACTGACTGAAGTCCTCGAGCGGGCAGCCACTCGAGGCGAACTATGACCACTCGAACAGCTGAACAGCCGGGCGCCGTTTGCAATTAGAAGATTGCGCATTGAGCAACGCCTCGGAAAGTTTTCGACGGGCCGTGGATAAAGTTTTTGGCCGGGGCAGGTTCATTACATCTCGCAGATACAAAGATACACAGGCGGCGTCATTTGTTATTCTGATTTCTCGACAGTGCCATATCAAGTGGCACGCATCTGAAGCCAAACTGTGTGAAGGCTATGGGAGGTGTATAAATATATACACCGATATCCACCAGATACTCGACATATTTTTGTTTATGCATATTTCACACATGAGTGCTGTTGGGCTGGCAAACGAAGGCAGAAATAAAACCGAAATCCAAAGACCAGAGACCAAACAAAGCGAGGCAATCGGATAAGATCAGAAAAGCGGCCGAAAACGGGCGAAGAATGTATATCTGTGCCACAGAGACGTGTAATTGAGTGAAAAATAATTATTATTGATTAACCGACCTTGACTTGGTATTTACGCGTTTACGCACAATTACATGATACACAGCCGCAAACGACTCGGCTGGAATACAAATGTATCTGGCGATGATGTTGCAAGTTTGCCCCTGCAATGCTTACCTGTGTGGAGAGGTTCTTTTTTGTAGTTCGTCGCTCGTTCTTTTCTTTCTATCTTTCCCACACGCAGGTAGTTAACGCCAAGAAGTATCTACGAGATACATTGCTGAGCAGCCCGCATTGCCATCAAAGTGTGAAGAAGCAAGCGAGAGTTACAAGTGCATGTTTGTGTGTCTCAAAGACTTATCCACCTGAATGCTCGTCCAATTGAGTTGGTAGTTGGAAGTTATTAGCGTCGGCTTTGAGGAATTTCAATTTGGCTAATGCCAGTTCAGTCCATTCCAGCCGCCGTATCTCCGATCAGCACCCATGTATCTCAGTATCCATGCCCTGGTCGTTGCTCCTTCCTGCTTAAGTATGCCGAACTTTGTTTTCGACATTTATTTACTGTTTACACAGTTCCACTTGCGCCCTCCGCCTCCGTGTTATTTATGCCCCGCCAATGTATCTGTATCTGTATCTGTATCCATACAGCTAGTATCCGTATCTCCATCTATATCTCTTTCTGTTTGCTCTCGAGTGTGTTACTTTTACGTTTATGTGCTGTTTGTGATGCTAATCTCATGTCGGTGCCGTGCATACGAGAAATTGTTCTGCCGGCTATGTCGCTTTTTCCGTGCAGCTCCAGGTAAAGGCGCTCGACATAAAACTAAATTTTAATTTAATTGCACACACCACTCGACTGCTAATTGAGTTGCTTTTGGCCAAACAACAGCACGTATAGGAATGCCGAAAAAAAGTTATATTCCCTGCCCATTAACATGAACATTAACGCCTTAGAAAGACGAACAGGAAGTCGTTGCTGCAGTATCTAATCATATCGCGCAGTATCTGTATCTGTTTGCCAACGAGTATCTGTTTTTAGGCTAAGGCAGTTCCAATGCTTCCATACACCGGCCGTGTTACTAAATATTTAAGCAACTCGCAACAGAAATTAGAGCAAACTATGAGATATGAGCCCGTGTATCCGCGTATCTCCGCCTGCGACTGTGTGTGCCGCCTGGCTAGATAAGTGAAAAGTGCAAATAGAGAAGGCAAAGGCAAACGTGACTCGTTTGGAGCGTGGAAAGCGAGGGGAAAGGCGGGGGAAAATGGGGAAAACTGCTTACCAGACAACTTTTTCAAACGGATTCCATGACATGGGCCATGTGCATGTGTGCATGCCTGCAGTTTTGGGTGCGTGGGTTATGTCTTCAAAAGGAGCGCATCCCTGGGTAAAAATTTTAATTAACTCGAAAACTGCGCAAATACCCCATACGAAAAATCATTAGTGGTTAAGGGAAGAGCTCTTCTGTTTGGCTCTGCCAATTAAAAGTTAAAGTTCCATTCCGAGTGATGGCAAATGGCATAGAACACCACTTAAGGCTTAACTGCAAACATAAATGTGACAAAACATCAGCAAAAACCTATCAAGCAGAACCAAAAAACGATCCATAACACTTATATGTAGAGCCGATCGTAAAGTTCGTCAGCCAAATTCCAATAGCCCAAGAAACTCGTTTCTTATTTTGTTGTTTTATTCATGAGATACATGTTTTGTCCGGAATATCTGGTAGATAATTAAAAATTTATTTCGGTTCCAGTTGCAGTCTCAGCTACCCTTTTAGATCGATGACCACCTCCATTCAAGCGTAGAACACTCATCGGATGAACTTATCTCATCAATTAAGTTTTGAGTTCTTTTCAGTTGAGTTTAATTGCTGCCTCTTTCACCCGATCAATTAAACCCTAAGCCAGACAAAATTCTTAATTGATTTGGTGCTGGACGCAAAACTAATTACGACTGCGTTTTAAGTAGTTTACGAAGGTTTCGTCCAGTTGCTTAATGGTTAGAAATGAGTTTTCTACTCCGCTTTCCACAGAGTCAAGTAAAAATAGTCGATGGGCTTGGGGATAGTGGCTTAAAAGTTGGCTTAATCGCCCTTCATTACGGCACGTCTTTGTTTAATGTTTTTGAAAAGCTAAAACGTGGGAAATTCACTTACAGAAGGGGTCTGTAAAATAAGTCACAGATCGATAAATCACCGCCAAGGAGGTAATAAACATTAATGTTGCAGTTCTCCTTTACAAATTCAATTTAAACTCTTAAGTCAAAGCAATATTTAATTGTAAGCGAGATATTTTTTTAGAGCACAAACCAATCTTCATTAGGGACAATATCCGACATTTATTAGGCAGCATAAAGTCACAGTATAAAGCTTAACTATTGATAAGATACTGGAAAACCTCTTCCTACACTTCGGTGCTCAAAAGTTTATCATCAATCTTAGAGAAGCGTTTTATGTTCCCATAAATTGTAACAACCTCTTTCAACTTAATGCTTGAAACAAAGGTCTTCATCAACATTCCAGTCGATTGCTGAAATTACAAAAGGCCAAAAAAAATCATTTTAGATTTTTTTTATATTTGCGCTAATTAGTTTCAATTAAAATTAACGACGCCCATGCCCATCGATTTCACACGCATATAAAAAAGGCGAAAAAAAGCAAATAACAGACAGCAAAACATAAAAATCTTGCCTTTGTATGTGGCTACTTTCTTAATGTTTGCTTTAATTTTGTGTTTTTTACACATCTGACCTCAATACAAAAGGCAATTCGAGAGTGGCTCGGTTCGGTTTCCAGTGTTCGGTTCAGTGTTCGAGTTCTGTTTAATTTGAGATATTTGTTTCGAAGGCGGAATGATGTCATCGATTGGCCTTCTGGGTTCTGCGCGCGGGGAATCTGGTAGTTTTCACAGATCCATGGACTCAGCAGATGTTGTCGACTGCTCGCATTCAAATTGGTGAAATATTTCATCGTCTAACTCTCATTCATTTGTCAGGTGTGTGAGTGCTCATTGAGGGAACAAAACGATTTCCAGGAACACATAACACATGAAAGGTAGTGACAATTTTTTCGTTGGTTCTGTAAACTACATATCTCATTTTCATTCATGAGGCATGTTGAGTTCAGTTCGGGTTGGCTTAAAGCTGAACCAGTTTGGGTTGTGTTTCGGTTGCCAAAGGTCGTCGTGCTGTGCGCACATTTTAATTAGAATCGAGCCAAAGTGGAAGCAATTAAGTAGGTTCAAAGCTTGTCCAAAGGAAGTTGTCAACTTGTTGGACTCTTCCGCTTGGACATGCTATTGCTCTAGCCCTTCTTCATGTTTGTCCCCAGTCGATAAAGGTGGAATGCATTCTCCGATAAGAAGTACCTGCAAGTCGACCGGCGATAAGATAAACTTCGAATGGCAACCAATTAAATATTTAGCGCTGGCCTCTTTGTCTGTATCTGTATTTGCTGGATGCGCCCCCTTAGAGCCATAAAATGTGTGAAATTCGTCTAGGCAGCGGCACGGACAGGTAGTAGATACATTTGTATCTCACGCTTGGTACCTGCTGCCAGCAGCTATTTTTAAACATTCACCAGTAAATTCGTCAAACAAACAAACAAACGCAAGAGGTTGCAGACAGCAATTGTATACGTATCTGTATCTGTATCCGTAGCTGAGGCTAAAAAACTGAGGCGGTGTATATCGCATAGGCGATAGAATTTTCCACTCCTCTTGACCGATTTGCTTTGGTCAATGTCGTGGCAACTCGTTGCTTATGCAACGATGATGCAGCAGCAGGAGCAGCCGAAAGTCAAAGCCGAATTCGCCGACGACTTACTCACTGGGAACAGGAACACTTAGCCCCTCCCGAATCGTATCTGCCAGATACTCCGATACCTCCTCTGCTGGATCTCCATCATCGAGTTCTTGGCCTGCTGCTGCTGCTGCTGCTGCTGGTTCATTGTTTGTCCATGTCTTTTGTGCCGCGTAATCGCTGTTTTCCAATGAACACACACTCGCACACACCGTGAGATACAAACGTCGCCGGATTCCTTTGGTTTTGTGTTTTTTGATTCATGGATGCCAGTGGCGCGTTGTTGTTCTTGATTCTTTATTTTGGATTGTTATGTTCACGGAAAAGGTAAAGGTTAATGCCTAGTGAAGTGTGCACAGCATCGGAATAGAATGGGGGGAACTCTCGGCCGCAGATACAGATACAAATGCAGATACATAACTAACTAGTTGGCATTTCCGCTCCGAGTGGCGTTACCCCGGGGTTATAATGCGTGTAATGGGATTTGGGGGATTTGTCGGTCAAGCATCTTATTTAGTTGGGATAATTTGGTAAACGCTTTTGGCACCTTTTTGGTTTTGGATGTGGCAAACACTTTTTGCACCATTCGGTTTGAGAGATTCAAATCTCTCAAGCTGGCCAAAAACATTTATCCCATTTGTGTAGACTCCATCCCCAAAGCTGTCTTCTAGTCCCTAACTCGCATTTACATTGCGCCATGTCTGCGGCCGCGCATAAATCAATTATTTGCACCTAAAGCCCATAAATCATTTTATGACGAGCAACAGCAAAAGACAAACATTGGACTGGTCAAAAACACAGGCATATAGACAGATGGAGGGGGTGAGACACGAAAGGCCCTCCACTGAGCCAAAAAGGCTAGCAAATTGCCAAAGTTGATTTGGTTTTTCGCAATCTTTTCTCTGATTTTTTTTTTTTGGCCCTAAGTGCCCTGAAAGCCTGGCTAATATGGCGTTGGCGGACTTGTCTTGTCGTACAAACAAAAGGCCATAATAAAAATATAAACACACACATATGTGTGAATGATTTCTGAAAATGACCAAAGGCACTTTGATTTCATCTTGTTTTTTGTTGAGCTTTGCCTAAGCCAGGCTTTTTTTCGTTGAGTATTTTGGACTTCATTCAATCGCCATCCGACGCGCTCTCTTTACTTTGTTCCCCTATTTGCTCGGCTCTTTATTCCCGATTCTATTTGTTGCTGTACATTTATATGGTTTATTGACTTTGACCGGAGTTCTTTCGTTCTTAGCCAGTTTTTTGCACACTAAGCTGAAGTATAAACAAGAGTGGAAGTAAATGCAAACAATAACAAAAGTGTTAAATATGTGTAGAGTGTACAAGAGTGGAGTGGAGGTTCAAATACAAAAAAAAAACAGTAAAAATAACTTTTTAACTTAAAAGTTACGAAGTCTTTAGGCTAAGCCGTTTTTTCTGATTATCAAAATTAATAAAAGATTTTAAAGACGAGGAAAGCTTGCCTTTTTTCTATTATCGAAGGTTTGGCTTTATATATTATATCAGTTTTTTATTAATAAACCACTGCTTTTTAAACAAGTATTTCATTCATCCTCTTCTCAAAGTAAAAAGGGGAACTATCAATATGCTGAGAGTCATATTCTTTTCCCTTTTACTATGAGAATCCCAAAGTGTAGCACTCTAATTTACACTCCCAGACGATTGACTAATTTCCAATATCTATTTGCTCTTCTCCATTTGCAGGTGCGTATTCCGAACTTAATGTCAGAACACACAGGGAAATGCTATCTGTACAAATGTTTGCTTTCGCCGGTCATACAGCAGTATACTAGATACAGATATCGGGTAATCTCTGTGTGGTAAGTTGGATAGTCAGATAAAGCCCCCCAAATGCGCATTCCACTAGACAGCTTGGCGATGCGACCCCTTGGTGAATTATAATTTCGGAGGTGTTCGAGTGTGGATGAGTTAAGCCCGGCCAGGGATCATCAATCATTTAATAATACATGCACGACTCATCGCCAACGCTAAAAACCAAGAGCAACTAACTAAAAACCCAAAAATAAAAACAAAAGCGATCCAAAAGCGTAAAAAAATCCCCCTACGCTTGAGCGGTACAAAAATCCACCAAATATGAATATAAATGCGAGCTTAGCACTGGCAGAACAGTAGGAAAATTTAATAAAACTTGGAAACAGGAGGGCGAGAACTGCTGCTTTGTCTGCAACTCGATGCCACACCATTCACTTTTCGTTATTAATATATTTTTTCGGTTAAAATTATGCTAATCCGTTGAAATATGATTATGCCGAATGACAACGGCGTGACGGGGGCGGAGGGGGCGTGGTTGGTCTGGCGGATCGGTCGCATATATGTCGGCAGGTGTGCCCATTAAAACGAGGGCTTGTGCATAATTTGATTGCCTTTCGCAGCTAATTTCGTTTACTGGGAAACCCGAGCACCGCGGAGCACTCTCGTCTAATTAAATACATGACGGAAATTTTCATATTAAATCATTTGCGAGTTCTTCTCCCAGGGCTGAAGTGAAACTTTTTCAATTAAAGAAAAGTCGACCTTCAAAGCAAACAAATTTCGAAAATGAAATTGTAGGCGAAAAAGTAATTTAATTAGCTTAACCCAAATAGGAATAAACAAAACGAAACCGAATCAGAGAAAAGTCCTCCGAGTCGAAATCGAAAGGGTTCCCGGCCAGCTCTCGTCGCGTGCTTTCATTTTGGCCGAGAAAGTTTCACTTCTTTGACGGTGACAGTCGCCAAACTTGGAGGCGCCAAAAGCAAAAGCAAAAGCCAGAGCAGAGCTGGCAATAAGAAACGGTGGCCTAAAAGCTATGCAAATTGGAACTGGAACTTGTGGCGAGTCGGCCAAGTGTTGACTTCCGTCATCTGCAAATGAATTTTTTAAAATTCCAAGAAATTTTAGTGCAAGAGTCAGTGAGGTTTAGTATTTCGGATTTTGGGAATAGGAAATGCAACCGATTATCTTTAAATTTTAGATAATAAGAATCTTAGCGTAAGACCACATTTTATAGCCACAACTAGGAAAAAATGTATTCTTGGCCATATTAGCCAAGAATAAAGAACTATACAGTTTTAATTATTCAAACTCCATGTAACTTAGAACAATAAGTCGATCGAATGACCTCGACAGAATAATTCAACACCACATTTCCAGGCAAATATTTAATCTAAATTCCAATAGACCATGTCGGGCAAACTATTCAAATTCACCGCTCCTGGTAGGCATCCAAGTACCACCTGTTTTCACACCAATCAGAGCATACTTTATCTGGTGGACAATGCAATTAACCGGATTCGAAAGCCGCTTATTGAATCTTGGTGTCGCAGGCGCATCGGGGAGTACGAAAAAAAGGAAGTCCCTGTACGGCAGCAAGTTCCAAGGATCCGAAGGGTTCGCTATCCGCAAGCTAAGGAAAATCCCTTCCGTAGGATCCCCGACTGTCTGCCAGGAAAGGGAGAGGTCCTCGAGCCCACTCGCATTCAACCGCCGCGGAATTCCATGTGGTACTCAGCAATAAGGTTCTTTAGTAGCTCCACTATTGATGGAGACTCTGGTGAACCACCAGAAGATCGTGAGGGAAAGCTGATTAAGTTCCCAGTGCGATCTCGTTCAGAGAAACTGCAAAAAGGAAAGGTTGAAACCTCGGAAATAGATTCGGTTACCTTCGGCACAAAAGAACCATCTCAGTCAGATCGTTTATCAGGACTGTCAGAAAAGTCCTCGCTCAAGGAGTTAACCCCAGAGGCTTTGGATAAATCGGGAACACATGGAGAAGATGAGGATCTCGAAGATGTTATAATCAGATCCATTTCTGAGTCGATCAACTCATTTGGTGAATCAAACGATCCCTCTGGAATCCAGTCCCAGCCACCGGAACAAAGCCAAGGTGGAAGTAATCCGCCGACTGGAAGTAAACCACCTACCAAACCGCCTTCAGGACATAACGATCCTTCAAAACCACCGACAATTAAAACAAACCCACCGGCAATAGGGAAAAATACCGGAGCAGGAGGTAAGCCCCCTATTAAAACGTCCACTGGAGGTAAAGCGCCCACCAATCCTCCTTCGGGAAGTAACCCTCCCGGGAAAACGCCTGGAGGAAGTAACCCCCCCGGGAAACCGCCTGCAGGAAGTAAGCCCCCCAATCCTCCTGGTAAGCCACCTGCAGGAAGTAAACCTCCTAGTAAGCCGCCCACAGGAAGCAATCCTCCCAGTAAACCTCCTGCAGAAAAAAAACCTCCAAGTAAACCGACAGCAGCAAGTAGTCCTCCTAGTAAGCCGCCTGCGGCAAGTAAACCGCCAGCAGGAAATAAGCCTCCCAGTAAACCTCCCAGTACACCACCTGGTAAACCACCAACCGCAAGTAAACCTCCCAGTAAACCACCCAGTACACCACCTAGTAAACCACCATCAGCAAGTAAGCCTCCCAGTAATCCGCCCGCAGGGTCAAAACCACCAACATCTGGAGGAAAGTCTGGAAAGGATGCAGGTGGATCGAGAGTCATAACCTTGATGCCTGGCGACGGCATTGGACCGGAGATCTCGATGGCGGTGATCCAGGTGCTCGAGGCCGCGAAAGCACCTCTAATCTTTGAGCCCGTGGACGTGACGCCAGTGACCAATGCCCAGGGTCACACCACAGTGCCCGACCAGGTGATCGAGAGCATGAACCGAACGAAGGTGGGTCTGAAAGGACCCCTGATGACACCAGTGGGTACTGGCTTCCGCTCCCTGAATCTCACCCTTCGCCAGCTGTTCAATCTGTACGCCAACATCCGACCTTGCCGATCTCTGCCTGGAGTGGAAACCATTTACGGCGATGTGGACATTGTGACCATTCGGGAGAACACCGAGGGCGAGTATTCGGGCATCGAGCACACCCTGGTCAACGGGGTGGTGCAGAGCATCAAGCTGATCACCCGGAAGGCCTCGCTCCGAGTGGCCGAATACGCTTTTCAGTACGCCCTGGACATGAATAGGAAAAAGGTTACGGCCGTGGCCGAATCCCAGGCCATGAGAATGTCCGACGGATTATTCCTGCGATGCGTCCGGGAAATGGCCGCCAAATACAAGAGCAAAATGGACCAGGCGGGCATTGTCTACGAAGAGTCTACCATGACCACGGTTTGCCTGAATATCGTCCAGAATCCCAAGCGATACGATATGCTGGTGCTTCCCAACTTATACGGAGATATCATATCGGATACTTGTGCCGGATTGATAGGTGGTTTGGGTCTGACGCCCTCGGGAAATGTGGGCACCCAAGGCGCCATTTTTGAGTCGGTGCATGGAACTGCTCCGGATATTGCTGGCAAGGATTTGGCCAATCCCACGGCCCTGCTACTGTCCTCTGTGATGATGCTGCACTACATCGGAATGCACGAGCACGCGGACAATATAGAACAGGCCGTGTTGAAGACCATCAAGGATGACAACATCCGCACCATGGACTTGGGCGGCACGGCCAAGTGCTCCGATTACACCAGCGCTCTAATCAAGAACCTTAAGTAATCCAATTCAATCCTAATTAAATTATTCTTGTCTTTAATTTTGGCGCTTATTGTTAAATTCAAAGATCAAATTTTCGTTTAAATACCCTTGAGGTCTTTTGTTAAATAATAAATAGTTAAAGAACCTGGCTATTAGATCTCTGCCATAATTTTATAGTAAATTGGTAATTTGTTCTCCAGATAAATAATAATATAACCAATTAGAACCCATAATTAATAATAATCGTTTTCTTATCTCTGCGATAAGCGATGACTTTAATCAACCTTCACATCAAGCCATCTCCCTTTTATAATTTTTGGAAATTCAATAAGAGCGAGTCCCTTTCGTACCAAAATGACTTTGTCAAACCATCCCTACCCGGCATGAGTTATCTGATGGCTCTGATCACACTAATTTTGCAACAGGCTATGAAGTAACCAAACATCACAGGAAACCGCCTGCTCCGTCCGAGAGTCAAAAGCCAAACCAGACTGAATCAGCAGAGACCACAATGCCACTCGGATCCCCTACTCCCTCATCTGTCCCAACTGCCCCCGAAAACTGCACTCCTGCCCCACCCCGAAAATTCCCAGCCAGCCAGTCTAACCAGTGCCAAAGTCAAAGTCAGACTGCCAGAGAGTCAGAGTCAGTCAGTCTCTGGGCCCGGCGCAAGTCATCAACCGCAGCACATGGTCGAGAACTGGGAATGGGGAACTGGGAACGGGGAACTGGGAACGGGGAACTGGGAACGGGGCACTGGGAACTGGGGTTCCTGCCCACTCCACTGGCTGTCCCCTGGCCAAGTTACGTTGCATTTTTACATGCATGTTCTGTTCAGGTCGGGTCCCAGCACAAACTGAAACTCAAACTCCGACTGGGACCCGACTCGACTCCTCGGTGAGCTGCGTTTAAAAGCACAGACCGGGCTCCTAAGCAAACCGAAACTACTAGCCAACAGCAGCAGCGAAACAAGTAAGAACACTGTAGTTGGGGGCAACGAATATAAGATACCCTGGTTTCAATGGATTTATTTTTAGCCTACTTCAAGGGACTAATATAAGATGAGAACTTCATTCATTTATAACTGTCGGAAAATGACTACCACTTGTTTTACAACATGCTTTTCTTAACAAAAAAAACTTTTTACTTGGAAATCTTTTAGATGTTGGGGAATTTCCTTTCAGTTTGTGAAGTAAAAAGTGGTGTGGTTAAAGCTTCAAGGACTCTTGCAAATTTGTTGCCTACTTCAGGGGGCTTGCTGAAATTCGACTATTTTACATTTGTTGGATGAGCATTAAACTTGACATACAAATCCTTTAAATCTTTTTATCTCAAAAATGTTGAGACTGAAGGATTTTCCCTTAAGTGCTGACAGTTAAATAAATAGTTTTAAATGGTGATTTAGAAACAATATACCTATTCTATAAGTTAGAACCACTGGGTATGAACGAAAAGAACAACAAGTAAGGGCACTCCTTGGTTCGAGGTTCAGTGGAGCGTGCAAGAAAAAAGAGCAGGAAGAAAATGCCACAGAATCAGCCAAAGAGCCATATAAAAATTAAAAAGAAACCAAAGGAAAAAATTTAATTTTGTGTGCCAGAGCGGGACAGAGCGATGGCGGTTAGTGTGTGTTTGTGGTGTGTGTGTAAGTGCATTTCAAAGAATTTTGATAAACAACAAAACCGTCGGTGGAAAAGAGAGAGAGAGAGGTGGCGAGGAGCAGAGGAGCAGAGCCAAAAGATAAACTCCGTTTTGTGTATGTGAAACAAAAGTCGAGAATTTCTCAACGCACAGTAACCGGTTTTCGGTTTCATTTTCACCCTCCCCCCTCCCGAAAAACTGAAAACTTCTGAAGCTGACACCATGAGCGTGGTCAGGAAGCGGAAAAGGGGGTGGCCTCGGAAAAAAGGGGGGGCGCCTGCAACTGGATGCGGCCTAGTTGTCGCTGTCTTCCATTCATAAGCCCTCAACTGCAGTCGCCCAATTTTGAATTGGCCAAAGCACGCAAAGGCCAAGTTCTGCTGACTCGAGTATAGCATTTTATTCCTATTTTTTTTTTTTCCAGCGAATTCTGGCACAATTGCAAATAGACCAAGAGCTGAAAAAGTCGGCGCCATAATTGCCATGCACCATGCCATTCCGCTCATTAGAATGCTAATTTGTAAATGCAATCCGTCGGTTGGTCTTTGCCTGAGCTGTGAACATTTGTGCCCTCGTAATTGGCCCCGCGGATTTGATTTCCCTGGAAATGCCGCAACACGAGTACCACGAATGATGGGTAGCAAAACTTATGTTTAATGCCAGCCCAGACAATGTAAACAGATTTTAATGGAGGAGCGGTGAAAAGCGAAATGAGATCACTTCTCTTCACAAATAGAATGCTAATAATCGGACTGATACTCGCAAAGGAATTCCTAGAAATAGCTGAAATACAAGCGAATTAACCACAAAGATATTTACAGTATTTTATCTATAAATATTTGGCAAGTAATTAACAAGTCACACTGCTAGATAAGCAAAATAATTCATATTTATAGCATTTTGATAACGAAATTGTCGCAAACAATCAGTTAAATTCGGGGCTACCAAGTCCAAACCACTTGACTATTAATAGTTATCTGGCTGCTTTCGATTTGTACATATTTTAAAGTTACTTTCTTTCTTTTGGGCTTACTTTTCCATTAGCCGATAAGTTCACTCATCCATAACCTTGCTGGCTGCTTGAAAAGGGGTTTAGTTTGATGGGCTGTGGAGTTAACCCCGACTTGAAAACTGATTTTCCATGTTCGTACCCACATTTTCACGCCCAACCCATCAACCCATCGACCCATCCACCCTGACATGGGTTCCAGGCACTTTTACAAAGATTTACGACCGCTGTCAATAGAGCTTTGCATAACACAAACTTCCACTAGGCAGCAGAAACAAAGCAACGGCTACAAAAAAAAAGCATTTTCGAATTTAAATCTATTTGTCACTTGCAAAACTTTTGCCACCTTTTCACTCGCTCACTCGTTCGATGGTCGCACAAAGGTCGGACCATCGGACGCTTGCAAAAAAGGTAATGCAAAGTGGCAGTTACAAATTTGCTGAAATCAAATGCGGGATGAACAACAAAAACAAGAAGTGTAGCAAAAAATAAGACCGGATATATTTTGGGCCAGAGAACCGAAACGTTCCATTTAAATAAGTTGGATGGCCTATGCTTAGGTGTCCGATCCAACTCCAGCACTTGTTTCTTCTTGGCCTAAACCGCCACCCCATTTTTCCTAATGCCCTTTTCAATCGTGGTGGCCTCCCCAAATCCCAGGCAGGCTAAACACTCCATTGCAGAGACAAGTCAGAATGGTTAAAGGGCAGAGAATGGGCATGAAGTTACCCTGTATTGAGATTTACATTATTGAGATTAAAGAAAATAGAAAGAAAAGTTATGAAATACAATGTTTCATATTATTTATATACATCAATTTTGATAGCTTAGATCAATCATTAAATCAAATTTACTATTTAAATTGAAAATTACTTGCATAGCCATAAAGGAGATTTGATTTTGGTTTTTATGTACATATATTAAACTGCTATTAAATGCAAGTTTAAATATGAACTTTCTTAAATATTTCAAAGTCCGTAAAATAAAAATAAATAATAAAATAAGCTCTATTAAAAGTGCATTAATACAAAATGTTTTAAGATACCCATCCCAGCCAAAGAATGCTGGGTATGCAATGCTCCAACTAGATGGAACAATAAGAAACAGGAGAAAAAAAATGATTTGCATTTATTTATCTTGGTAGCTCTTCATCGTCCTCCTTCTGTGTTTGAATTTGTTATTATTCCGGCACTCTGGAGGTCTCTGCGTATTCCTTATTGTTTTGTCCGCTCCTTCCTCCCCATCAACCCTCCACTTCTACTCCATTTGGATCCATTCTGCGCCGTGCTCCACTAGACATTTCTATGCGGCGATGATAAAAATAATCCCATTTATTGTTTAATGCTTAATAAATAAAGCAATTTTTATTTATTTGCCAGCAGTTTGTTGCTGTTTGCGTTTCAGTTGTTTCTTTTTCTTTCGTGCAATTGCGTTCTGTGTGCTTTATTGATTTTAATGGCAACTGGAGGATTGTTTGTGGTTGTTGTTATCGCCGGCAAAATACTATCAATTGTTTATTGTTTTGATAATGCGTTCGGTTGTACTTTATTGTTTGTACTTGTGTCGAGGGTTTTGCATGCAATCGTGGGAGTCATCGATAAGGCCTTCGTGTCGACGTAACAACTGCTAACAAAGCGATAGTTAATTGGGATCAAATTGAATGTGGTTTGGACTTTGGGTAAAAAAAAATTAATTGACATATTGAAGGGGTAATGGAGTCCTATTAAGCTCTTTTGTTAAGATACGTTATGGAACTGGTCGATTCCCTTTGAAAGATCGTATAACAAAACCAATTTATGCAGAGGTTTTTAAACTTGCGCTTCGCCTCAACTTGAATGCGAATTATTGACTGTATAAATATGAATAAACTATTCTCTATTCTTGAAAACGAAACAAGTTTCTCTATTTGTTTATTTATAACAAAGATTGATAATAATCTTTAGGTGGCGCCTCAACTTTGCTTTTGATATATTCGACATAATAAGAGCATTGTCTTTTATTCAAAAGTCAACCTCTGGGTTATTCCAACATTAAGTTATTGAGGTTGAATGATCAAGTTAGGGAGATACCATTTAAGTTTGGTTTGTTTACAAGCTTTTAAATCTGGTTTCGCCTATAACTTGTTGCTACCAAAATTTAATACTAAGTCTTTAATTTTCTTTACAAGCTTTAATGTTTAACCTGGGCACACTTTTGACCTCCTTAATTGCACATTTAAGATTGGTCTCACTTAAGCCATAAAGCCTAGCTTTAGAGAAAGTTGTGTTTATGTCTGGTTTTACTTTTGGATTAACTTGTTGCTACTAACGTTAAGTCTTTAACCTTCTTTTATCTATAGAAACTTTTATGGTTACACTTTTAACCTCCATTTTGCAATGCTCAAGCCTGGTCCCTCTTGATTTACCTTTTCGCTTTCCTAACTCAATCCTTGACTTAGTTCGACTTGACTAAACTTTAATTTGCTGTAACTTAAACCCAAGCTTAAGATGCATATCTGGCTTCGATCCGGCAACCAATT